TGTAAGCATTTACACCTTTGCAGATGAAAGAAACAAGTGAGAATTGGCTCGTAGTAGCATATCGGCGGTCTTACATATTGAATTTGTCGGCTGGGATTGTCCAGCTTGTGTCATGACAGACTTCCATGTTGATGTTTGTAGATAGTCTTAGTAAGATGCTTTGAAGAGTGCCAGTCAAATGCTGTGAAACACTGTACACGATCAGTGCTGCGTTTTCTTGATTTTAAGTGTCCTTCTCTGCTTGCTGTTAATCTTGTATATATTGAAGTTGCTGTCGAGTTTAGCTGTCATACATATGTAGATTTCTTCACTATATTAATCATAGTAATATTAATACAGGGTTTGTATGTTAACCTTCCAGACTCCGAAAGAAGATAGACAAGAATGATTGTGGACAGTTGACAAAGTAAATAGTTTCTGCTGATAATCAAGACAAAGCTGTTAGCGGGTTATTTAAACTACTCAATCTTCAGCTGGTACTGAAAGTCCCAACAACATGAGGTAGACCACATGCTGGAACAGAGTTAACTTCTACAAATGGCACAGCTGCTTTGTGTTCCAGCTGTGAGCCAGTGGCTTACTCACAACTGTGTGTTTGATTTCACCAGATGTGCAAAAGCACATTTTAGAGAGAGTAAATGCGCTAGTGATTTAGTATTCAGAATAAAAGACCGTGTTCAGGCTCAAAGCTCTGCGTCTCAGACCTTTCAGCAAGATTTGAAGCCGGGTGGAGAACAGAGCGAAACACACGACACGACGACAGACCTGCATCTGGTTTATTCCTGGGTTTAGCGACTGGATGTTTTAATTTTAGAGAAAAAGAAATCTTTCAGGTTTCAGTTGAAGCTTTTTGGTTTTCTGAGCAAAGCTGATGGCGAGCAGAACTGAGCTGACAGCAGTGTTACAGTGAGATTCGGCCGTCGGGGGTCTGGAGGGTTAACGCTTGTACTAATTGTAAATAGCTATTTGGTGTTTTTTTGTTTGTTTTGTTTTTTTTCTCTTTCGCAAAATCATGTAAAGTGAAAAAATGTTTTCAAAACTCCAGTTTGAGGCGATATGAAACTCTTTCCATGTGTAGGACTGAAAGAAGGGTAACATTTTATCAGATCATTCGGAACACGTGAGCGAGAGCTTCTTGAGGCGGTTTTTTAAAAGCATTGAGAACAAACAGTTCTCTCCCTCAGTGTTCGCTCTCTAACCAGACTTTTAAAGGCAGCTGATGTCGGTTAGTGTTCGCGTAACCTTCATGCAGATGAGAAGAATCTCTTGTTCAGCTGTGCTCGAGGTTTTCAACAGAGGAAATGCGGTCAAATGTTAACCAATTATCAGTCGTGGTAGAGACGATCTGCCGGTCATTTGCACATCAACACTAAATCGAACGTGTTCCACTGTGGAAGTGTACTATTAGCCCAAATAAGGTCACAAATGAGTCCTGCTGCAGTTGCACGGTGTGGTGAGAATCAGACATTTCACCTCGTCATTTGTGCATAGTTCATTCCTCTTAAGTGCCTTCAGGCTTCAGACTAGTGCGGTTTCACGTGCACGGTCCCACCTCCAGCTTCTGCCGTGCAGTCACGGCTTCGTGTTTTTCCTTTTCTTTAACCACAAGCGCGGCGTTTGAGAGGAATGATGACACCAAAAGTCTCCACTCCCCTACATATCTGCAAATTTGTAAATAGCTTTTTACATAGATTTGGAGCTGTAGACGCGTTGAAGTGAAAAATAATAGTGCCTCTATATTGTGGGAATTATTTTTAGTAAAGACGTGTAGCACTATTAGAAGAAAACATAAGATTGAAACCCACAGCAGGGCGGTTTCTGTGAGCTCTGGTTTATAATGTCTTTATCCAGGTTTTCTAACACTGATTGGTATTTCAAAATAAAATCCCTGAAGAAAATTTGAAAGACCAATTTAGTCAGTACTGACTTTTTTCTTTTTATTTTGTGTATGTTATTTATTCTCTGTGCTGGCGGGGAAATGTTTCAGGTCTTCACAACACTATGTTTAAACCAGGGGTGTCATACTCGGGGTCATAAGACCGGCCCGCTGGACATCTTTCACACATTTCGGACTTTTAAATGTATTTTCTTAAATTTTGCAGCTTGTCCTATGGGTGAAGACCTCCCCACAACTTTCATACTGCATCAAAGTAATAAATAAATAATGAAATGACAGAAAAGTTACTGCTTTTTTTCCACTATCTAAAGTACAAAAGCCTGTATCCATGGTAAAGTAAGTAAAACTGGACATTTTTTTGTGAATTAACAAAAACTTGCTCCTCAGTCTGGTCAAAGGTCATTTTACACATTTGCTTTTTTACAATTTAAGCCCAAAGAGTCATGCTAGCATGTGTTTTTATTACACAGCAGCATTTCTTTATCATGTAGTAAAACTGAGATGTGCTGGTGCAATTGCACGTCTTTTTTGTACACTGAGATATTGCAGGGATTAAATGTGCAGCTACACTTACTTACATTTACAGAAAGGGAATTTTTACTAGTCTAGTCCACTTAAGACCAAAGTGTGACCCCTGATGTAAAATGAGTCCGACATCCCGGGTTTAAACATTTACCCTATACAAAAACGAGGGGGCGCAGTTGGTGTCAGGGAACGCCAACCTTGTGTAGCGTTAAGAACGGCGCCAATCTACAAGAAAGGAAGATGAAATTAAGAGCTGACCCATTCAATGATAGAGGAGCTGGGACTCTGCAAGATGTAAGTGAAGTTTATAATCCAGAGTTCATGGACAGTTAAGCTCACAAACAGCAAAGAAGTCTTGTATCGCGTCTTTACACAGGCCTGCACTGACTCGACAGGGAGTCCTGAGCGAGTGTGTCTGCAGGCTGTTTCCAGGCAGTGATGGTGGAGGTTATACTGGCAGGTTCACTCTGTGCTGTCTTTCAGTTTAAGGATGGCTGCGTTCCAGTGATCCAGCTCTGCTGGGAGACTGATATACAGCGTATCTGATCCTCTGATCCAAATGTACACGCAGCAGAATGTCTTTTTGGGGCCTGCTTGGGTTATTTTTTGTTCATTTTAGAACCACTCTATTTGTGATTAATAAAACTCACTTCTAATATCACAAAGGTGTTTAGTGTCTTTTCTATTTATGGTGTGTGTGTAGTGAGGATTCTAGATCTGCACTGCCTGTCTTGTCATTTCACTGCTTGTTCCAATCCTCCTGGCCTGTTCAACAGTCCCCCCACTGTTCACAGAAATCCTATTGGTCCATCCAATATCCCACCGACTGCTCTTTGTTGATCTAAAGCCATAATCTATTAGTGGGAGTTAAGCCATTTCCACTTTCCACACTGCAAAAAGCCTTCTTGTTCCTTTCTGGTGACTGTGCCAACTGGCAGCAGGTTCCTGGATAAAGAGCACTAAAATCAATGAGCCTGGAGAGGATAATATATTGTCCTTTGCATCACAGCTACTGAACACTTTGATTTATTTCACAGTAAAATCAATCAGTGCTGGCTTTATCGTCAGGCAGAAGGATGAAAAAATACCTACTTTTTAAGAAGGCAGCAAGCCCTGTGTTCAAATTATGATTAAATGTAGCACACTCAGGTCATTCACTGAACAAAGCACACAACGCTGCTCTGAAAGTCATGCAGCATGTGAGTCAGTGTTACTCATCTAACAGTTAATAGGATGAAACACATCTGTGGTTAGTTGTACTGGTAACTCTACCAGCAAATTATGGTGTTAAGTTAGTCTTTCAAAATTCTCAGCAAACACACAGAGATCTTACTTGGATCAAACGATGAACGAGGACCACTGAAGCAAATTAAGATTTAAGTATGACAAGAAGAAGTACACGAGACCTAGGAAAGAATTATGAAGGAAAAATCTTTAGTTTTGTGTGTGTGTGATACATTTTAAATATTTAGATAATAAACCTGAACTCACTAAAACTTGTGAACCTTAAAGTTTGTTCTTAATGTTCTTTGTTAAGACGAAGAAAAACAGCTGTAGGTGGTATTTGCTGTGTGCAGCATCAAACTGATGTAAGTGTGTTACTATTAACTGAGAATGGGTTAAGATATTAAAACACTGTTTGTGTGTCCCACATGGTTCTTCCATTAAAAATACAGCTCACAGAGAAATGTAGCCATTCTGGGCAGCACGGTGGAACAAAGACGGGTAACTACTAATCATTTCTGACACTTTCACACTAAAACTAATTTAAAAAAATAAAAAATAAAAAACCCTGAAGTGTCTGATTTGCTCTGTTTGCCGTCTGTGTGCAGGACACAGTGCACAAAACTCTACTCAACACGTTCCACAAACATGGCTGCTTACAGTTTTATTGTCAGTGGAACAGCAGTTTGATTACATTTCGGGGGTTCATTTATACCAGCAGGAAGATCTGTTCTCAGAACCAGCAGGCTGACCTTTACACGGTGTGATTACAACCCAAACAAGTGAGGAGTTCAGAAACACACACACAGGTTTATGCCTGTTTCGCTTTCTTGTATAATTTGTTCACTTGCATCTTAAATATTTTACGATATTATTCGAGGCGGGCCTCGCTCTCACAGTTGGACTCGATCGCTGGGCTCAGAATAGAAGTTTACCAGCTTTTTTGAACACAGCGAGGTCACAGGTATTCAGACAATGAGACAAACAAAAGGGAAGTCCGCTGAATCGCTCTCATGGGAATCTTGCCACAATGCTCTCTCGGCCACTCTTCGACACAGGACTTCTGCACAGGGCTTCTGCACAGGGCTTCTGCAAACTTGAACACCGGGCCAGTACGAGGAGCTGAACCACACTACCACAGCTAGTGCAATCTGGTGTCAACTGGAGGATTTCTTCAGCCTTAAATAGCAGAGGTGATGAATGACTGCCAGCAGATGTGAAGACTCAACCACCTCCAGGTGCACAAGCCCAGAGGGCGGGGACCCAGTAGGAGTCTTTGGATTCCTGGGCAACAATGGTGATGCCGTTCAAACACATTCATATGTTACCACCGTTTCCACACCACATCTTTCTCACACCTTGACCACATATTCAGTTTGCAATGACCACTTTTATTAGGAAAGAGG